ACGCACACACACACACACACACGCATAGACACATACATATAGTCACACAAACACGCACGCACGCACACACACGAACACAGGTGCATGCTTAGCTGAGGAGCCGTGGAAAAGTTAATTTCTACCCATGTGAGGGTGTCAGTAGGTGACTACTGGAGTAGTTTCACGGAATAAAGTTATGCAAGTTTCAAAAATGAATAAAAACTATGCAATGTTTGTGCTCCTTATGCAATGATTTGCCATATTTTACAAGCTGATACAAGTAGGTACAGAGTATTGTGCAGTAGGAATTGTAAACCATAGGCTGCTCACTAATTAATAATAAAACATGAACAAACGCTATTAGTGTGGCATTTTATATAAACGTGATTCCGTTTGTGTATGAATATAATTTTATTGAATATTTACGAATATATTATGGCTAAAGAATTATAGTTTTTTTTAATGTAATGAAAAACTGGGATTATTCATTGGTATAGGTGGCCCCTTCGCTTATTTTTGGTATTTCATGTCCAAATTGTATACCCTTTAAATAATGTCTCAGTTGATTCGACCTAACCGCACATGTAACACGCTCTGAAAATTCTTCTCTATGTCCATGCTAAAATATCTCCTAAATTGGCTGCTTGTTGAGTTGCATAATGAAAATAGGAATTATGCGTTCGTGTAACACATATTAAACAACCTGTCTTCGTTTTATCTTTCTTAGTAAACCACATGTTTATTGTCAAAACTAATGTGTACATATTTGTAATTATAAGATGCTTCAAATCATTTCCAAACTACATCCATTCGTCTTAATTCCTATCCAATGAACTATTCAGATTTATTTCACATCAGCCATTACATAGATGATTGGCAAACCCAAAGCTTATAAGAGGTAATTCTGGATCTGCACTTAAAGGAACGACATTCTTTCATCCTAGACCCGAAATCTGATTATCTTTACTATTTGTTGTTATAATTCCATTTTGGTATTTTAATCCAAATATAGCCAGTTCAGTTAGTATCTAGCAATTTAAAATTCAATATATCCTTTTGGCCATGAGCAGTAATCTTACTGCTCCTTGGCCTTTTCATTCTACATGACACTCTGATGCTAAGAGCTGCCCATTCATCTCAACAGCAGACATACAGCACCACGAATAATTCTGACAAGCAATAAACCCTTAAGCCTACGTCTCTCGATCGTCAACCAACTTAATTCCCGCTGACAAAGTCGTTATCGATATTACCATATAGTAGCAATAATAAACGTGTCCGATAATTTATTTATACATACGTATTAAATATTATCCATACCTGCCCGCTACGCATGCACCACAACATTTCACACGCATAGATTCCACATAAAATGCTACACACACTACGCACGCCACTACTGCTGACGCACACACGCACGAACACAGGTGCAATCTTTTACTGAGTGAGCCGTGAAATATTTAATTTCTAACCTCATGTTGATGTGTTCAGTAGGTTGTACTACTATGGTAGTTAGTTTCAACCGGAAATTAAAGTTTACGTTGCAAGTTTTCAAAAAATGAATAAAAGAGCTGCATGTTTGTGCTCTTTATTGCAATGATTTTGCCCTCTTTTACAAGGTCTGATACTAAGTAGGTACATTGAGTTATTTTGTGCATAAGGAATTGTAAACATAAGGCTGCCACTTAATAATAATTAATAACATAGAATCAATAACGCTATTATGTGGCATATTTTATATAAACTGTAATTCCGTTTGTGTATTGAATTTAGAATTTTTATTGAATATTTTTACCCGACTATATTATTGCTACAGACTATATTGTTTTTTTAATGTAAACCTGGGATATTTCATTGGTATGAGTCCCTTGCATTTTTTGTTTGTCATGCTCAATGTTATACCATACATAATGCTCTCTTGATCGACCTTTAAACGCACATGTAAATCATGACTGATCTTCCTAATGTCATTGCTCAAACCATTCCATTTAAGTTGGTCGTGCGCTGTGTTTATGCAAATCCAAGAAATAGGAATATTCTGCGCTGTGAACATACCGTATTATATTAAATTGTTCGTTACGTTTTAGTAAAAACTATTGTTTATTGTCAACGTACTGTTACTAATATTGTAATGTATTAAGATTTTTCAAAATCACTTCCAACACCAGTTCATCGGTCTTAATACTTCTATCAGAGTAATCCTTAATCAGATTTAATTTCAACTCGCAGCATTACTTGAGAGATTGGTTTAACCTCATCCCCCCCCCCACTCGCCACCCACACATCAATAGTCCAACATCAAGCTCACGGCAATCTGCACTCGCAACACTAGGTGCATGCCTTTTAGCTGAGGACCGTGAAAGTACTTAGATCAACCTTTTGTGATCTGAAGCTGTAAAATGTGATACAAGTGTGTAATGATCCTACAATCCCCCTCCAACCTGTCGAATGGTATTTTACTCCTTTGTAGTTTCGAGAAGTCATGCGTTTTTCTTCTTGAGCCACACGTTTTGTTGTTGTCACAATGTGGACAACACCACACTTCATTCAGAGTCCTCATTGGTTTGAAACTTGATGATCGATCTGACAGTAAAGGGTAAACAAACAATGCACGGCCACAACTTAAATTGGCGGTCCCCTGCTGGTCATACTCTTAATACCGTGATAATAATTAATAGTTCATCCTCTATAACTCCGTCGATTATGAATAACAATTCTTCGTTCGAATAAAAAATATTTCAGACATCAACAACATCACACGTGCCCAGTAATCAGTCAGCAAGACTGACTCTTTATTAGCCTTCCCCTAAAAGTATTGATGATGGAACCAAATTGACATATCATGTAGTACAATGTTATCAACATCTGCCACCTGCCCCCAACTGTCCATACTGTCAATATGCCCAAGGCTTAACAACTAAATGAGCGTCTTGACACTAGTGCAAATTAAACTCGACTTCCCTTTACAGCACAATTTCCCATTTAGTAATTGGCACACTGTTACGCAACTTTAAGTCGCACCAGCTCACTTTTTGTCTGTGCCGATCAAACTAGTGTATCGCTCTCTACAACTAGATCGTATATAAAATAATAGCCTAGCCGTGTTGTGGCCCTTTCCTACACAGCTGTTTGAACTGGAAACATACTACTGTTTGTTATTACTATTCCTCATCTTTCCACCATCATTTTCCATGTCGGTCGACAGAATACGTTTTCTATCCTGTCTTCTCTCCCTCACAGTGAGCAGAAAATTGGACGCTGTATATCCCTGCATAGTGGTGCACCATCCTATCTCTCATTGAAATGATGATGTGCCGTCCACCCGTCTACGCCGCCAGTCATTTAAATACACGTAAAGCTTACAATAAGCTCCATTCAGCATGTAGCAGTTACGACTAACTCACTATATAATAAGAAAACTGAGACCCGCGAGCAAACCTTTATTGAGTACTATGGTTTTTTTTTATTTTGTACCTCAGCAATGGGCCAATCCGCCACAGAAAAGCATGGGTTAGTAACAGGTAGGGAGTCCAACGTGAAGGTCGCCTCGCCCGCCGGTGAAGAGCCGGCCGTGTTCCGCTGTCCGTGAATGCCAGCTTTACGCTAGTAATGTTTATCATGCGTATGCATCGCTAGCAAACCAAGCTACCCTGCGTATACTCATCGTTTGTGCTGCTGCTGCTTCTGCGCATCTGTTTTGCTGCTTGCATCGCCTGCTGTTGTTCTGCCTGCTGCTGCTGGTGGTGTGCGCTGCTGCTGATGCTGCTGCTTGCTGAGCTGCTCGTCTGCTGTGCGTGTCTGGCTGCTGCCGCTCGCTGCAGTATCTTTCGGCGAGGTCGGCTGGCCTACCCTGCGCCCCCTGCTGTTTCGGCCCCTGCAGGCAACCAAGTGGGCGTCCACTTGGCCTTGCTGCTGCGCTCGAGTCCACGGCGCGCGGAGTGGGATAGTAGGGTCGGCCCCGTGGTTTCTCGGCACAGCCTGCCTGCTGCGTCGTCAGTTCGGGTCGCGTTCTTAGCTCGGACAGCGTTGGCTTCCTGAACTTGTGACGACCACGCGGACGTCCGCGTTTCGCCCCGCAGCCTACGGTCCCCCGCCTGTTCGATTCAAATATTTGTCGATCTGC